AACCCTAAACCCTAAACCTCCTACACGCTCACCCTAAGCCCTGAACCAAGGCTGCAACCCCTTCGCCCTTCACCCCTCAAGAATGCTCGGACCTACAACCTAGTCTCCTAAGCCGATGCTGCGTTCCCAAAGACTTCAATATCCCTTAATTAAGGAATATACCTTAAATTATACTAAAGGAATATACCTTTAATTTTACTAGGATCCTTAATATGATTTAAGGTATATTCCTTAATTAAGGGATATTGGAGTCCCTGGGTTAAGGCAAGTACGACGAGCGTCAGCTCCGATCGCCGCCAGCAGGCTCAACGAAGTTTAGGGTTTAGGGTTTAGGGACCCTAACCCTACAGGTCCATGTGCCCACATAGTACCCTAAGGGTCCATGTACCCAAAGTAATATACTTTGGGCTTAAAGTAGTCCCTATAGAAGTACTTTGGGGCCAATGTATATACTATTGGGGTACATGGACCCTCAGGGGTACATAATTTGGCCTTAAAGTCCCCCCGCATAGGGATTACTTCAAGACCTATACTCTTTTTGAGCACAGGGGCTCTTCGTGTAAGGGTCCAACAACGTCAAACTGACATTCTATGCGGATTATTGATGCATAGCTGCACGCATGACCGCTATCCTTAGCCCAACTGCCCCAATGACTGACTGGGTGCTTTGACGCCTGACGGCTTAAGGTTTGCTTGGAATGTGCGGGTTTAGGGTTTAGTAGTTGTGAGTATCAGGTAAACCCTAAACCCTAAGCCCTAAGCCCTTAAACCTAGGTGAGACAACAAAGCAAGTCTCTCTGGACCCGAACCGCGCCGGGCTGTTCACGCGCCAGCGAAGGAACATCTAAGGGCATGGGGGTATCGATGATTCATCTGGATGGCTGGTCAGTTCTAAGATGTACCACCCCCCCAAAATCTTACTGTACTTATCTAAGCCTTGAGCCAGTAGTGGCCAGTATGTAAGTATTTCAAGGGTGCTTCTGAGGCTTTGCATCGATTGAAAGCTGATGTTCTGTCAGTTTGCAGATCATTGGCAGGACTGCCAAATCCCAGGAAGTAGAGGTCGCCAGGGGCTGAATGGTGAGGTTCTCGTATCCCGGACAAAAATGCATTCTATAGAAGCCTAGATAACTACCAATATTTTCTTTCGGGTTCTTATCAAAACCATACTATGAAGGTGCCCAAAACCCAGTTATCAAGGCCCCTACATTAGGAAATCGGGGCCCAGAAGCTCCCAGGCCGCCCGCATTCAGGAGGGTTCAGGGTTTAGGGTTTAGGGTTCAGGGTTTAGGGTTTAGGGCTTTTAGGGTCCTTCTGCCCATACCGTAGATAGATTGACCAATTTGGGCTTCCTACGTCTGGTATTTACTTTGTGGCCCACGTAAATCAATCACGCATTCAACAATCAATCAGTCAGGCTCTCAATCAATCATCCAACCAACCTACACCTACCTATCTACCTATCGATCTATCTATCTAATCTATCTATCTGTCTACCTATTTGTCTATCTATCTGCCTATCTATCTAGCTAGCTATCTATCTATCCGTCCATTTGTGTGTCTATCTATCTGTCTGTCTGGCTATCGATTCATCTATCTATCTATCTATCTATCTATCTATCCATCCATCGAACTATCTATATGGATAGAGGACATGTATACATACATGTATACATATTGTTAGTATCGTTCAAGAGAAAAAGCAGACATAACAGTTTAACAATGTGAGCGTGTACAGCTCACTAGGCAGGTCAGTTTTCTGTTCTTCCCCACATAGTTCCAGTAAGTCCTACCGCAAAAATTTTCGTCCGGGCCTCCAGTTCCCATGTGGTAAAGTCGTGTATACCTTGGTTTTTCAACCCTAAACCCTGCACACCAAAGCTTGAAACCCTGAAGTTTGCCCTAATGCACTACACTGTGGCACCAAACCCTGAACCCCTATAAACCCCACACCCTAAGCCCCAATGTATCTACTTTGACTTCAAAACCTCAACCATGTGCCCCGAACCGACCTTTTCCGGATTCCTTTAGGGCTTCGGGTTTAGGGATACCTCGGCGCATCTTGGAGGTGCCGTGTGATGCGGATGCCCTTTGCTACAGCTCCGAGATGATCAAATGGACAGGACGCCGGCCCGAAAGAAGCCCTAAACAGGTTTAGGTTTCAGGGTTTAGGGTTCAGGGTTTTAGGGTTTAGGGTTCAGGGTTTAGGGTTTTGGGTTTAGGGGGAGGTTGCTTTTTTTGTTTCCAGTAGGGTTTGGGGCTTCGGGGTTTAAGAGTCGGGGGCTGAGGAACTGAATGGTGTTAACATCTAGTTCAGAGACCAAAGCACCGACAGCAATTCTTCTTTTGGTCATGGCCTGCATTGATGTGGGTGGTTGTCAAAATTATGGTCCCTTTTGGGGTACCCTAAATAATAGGTGCCGTAGTATAATAAGGACCCAAAAAGGGACCATACTTTTGACAACCACCCATGTATTTATTTACTTCAGAAATGAGTTCCATCTTAAGACTGGGAAAGCTTCTGCATACCTTAACCTACCATAACCCACTTTTTTGTAGGTTCATATTATAAACCCTAATATGGGATTTATAGGGACCCTACAAAAAAGTAGGTTCTGGTAGGTTAAGGTAGCCTTTCTCTGGCTTTGCCTACATCCTTATTCCTGGTTGGTTCCTTATACCAGTTTTAGCAGGGTATGTCTAAAACCAGTGCTTCCTACCAACAACCTCCCTGTTCCACATCTCTCGACGTCCAGGGAGAACACAGCAAAGCGCAATAACCCTAAATCCTAAACCCTACCCCTAAACCCTAAACAGTTCTATAGCACACCACACTCCACCGGACCCAGGATTTGGGCGCCTGGGTTTCGGATAGCACTTAAGAGGTTAGTACTTCGGTTGATGGACAAAATCCTGCATGACCTTATATACCTAAACTATGGGATTTATGGTACTATACTATATTTGAGTCATGCAGAATTTTGTCCATCAACAGTTAGGACACTATACGATTATCCCGTGCTTGCATCCTTCCTACCGTCTCCATTGTAGTTCCTCTTTGGAGTTACCTTATGGGATGCTAATATATAGTTGGTCAAACCAAAAAACAAGCTGCAATGGAGACTATAGGTTGGGTTGACTTGATATTGTTTGAGATTTCCGCGAGCTTTAAGCAAGGGGGTGAATCCTTAACAGGCGATCTGGGGTTCAGGGCTTTTGGTTTTGATCACGCCTTCTTCTCCCGTACAAAACCAAAACCCCGAAAGTTTAGGATTCTGGTAAACTCGTACAAGACCAAAAGCCCGAAAGTTTAGGATGTTGGTAAACTCGTACAAAACCAAAAACCCAAAAGTTTAGGATGTTGGTAGATTAGGATAAGGAAGCTGTGATCACGATGAACTACGAGGCACCATGCGCCAACCCTAAACCGTGAACCGTACTACGTAACTACCCGCGTAGACCTTCTTCATTTTAGGACTTGGATTGCTGGGATTTTCGCTAACGTAGACGCACCAGCCCTTAATCCTAGATACAACAGCAATATATGGTTCGGGCCTTCGCAACTGGGGTTTTGAGTTATTGGAGCCAGAAGTAGACTGACCTTGTTTCGTTTGTTCGCTCCCTCCGAAAATTACCACTACCACTCAAACTGGAGCCCGCATGCTGGTCAATGCTGGTTGACCTAGATCCCGGGAACTTATCATTGATCGAGGTC